GCTTCTTTTAAATCTTGTCATCTTATGGCGCTTGAGAAGCATGCCTTTTCTGTAGCTGCCCCTGTTCTCTGGAATGATCTCCCCCTGATATATGACAGGCCCCAACTCTTCTAACCTTTAAGAAAGCTGTTAAGACCTGGCTTTTCCCCCAGACATTCAGAGCCAGCTGAGTGGAGTCCCCCTTTGGTTGTTTTGTTTTAGTGCTTGGTTGCCATTTTATATTGTCCATTTGTTAATGCTATATGGTTTGGTTCATTTTTGGGGGAGAGGTTGTTTTTTGTGTTTCAGGCTCCCCAGAGTTACACTGTTGTGTTGGGTGGCCTTATAAATCTAGTTAATACATAAATAAATATGTCCATTTGTAACTTATTCCATAAACTATATTTAAGAAAAACATGGCTTAGCATCTCCATGCTGAGGGTGATGGGATTATAGCCCACCATATCTGGAGACCACTATATTGGGGAAGGCTGTGTTAACTATTAAAGTACACTGATTAGGTTTGTAATCATATGCTAAGCTATGATTTGTTTCAATACTACACTATAAACGTAAAACTACAAATTATCAGATGTTGCACTAAGCTAAGACTAAACAAACAACATTTTGACTTAACATGTAAACTGATTCAGACTATGTAGTATGCTCAATATATTTTGCACTTGACATTAACTTCTGAGTTGTTAAATTCTACTGCAATTTTGTTGATTTATGTGGGTTTTAATTTTAGGGAGAAATTGACTTTTTGTCTAACTTGAACTGCAATACATAAAATTACACACTCTGGATTTCCCAGCAATATAAACTTGCAGCTACATCTACAGGTTTCAATTTACCATAATCTTCCCCAGCCAGATATTTTTCCAACACTTGAACTTCAGGCTCCATAGTCCCCTAACCAGGAAGATTATTGGCAATGATGCATGAAGAATTTGTCCAACACATCTGGACAATAGCAGGTCTGGGAAGGCTGATTTACCATGTAGCTTTACCTTGTAGTAAGAACTGTAGTGGTCATGCCTCCATGTGGGAAATATCATTTTTTGTATCTGCAAATGGAACTTTACTGTGCATCCACAGTCCATTAGCAAAAGACTGTACTGATGAAGATAAGGCCAATCTATGCACTGTAGTTGAAATAGTCACGTTATCTCAAACGTACAAAGCACTGTTCATATAGTCTAGTAGAAGCCATGATGACATTATGTTGCACACAATGTCACTTGCCCCTCATACATACAAACTCATACATAGTTAGTGTTTTATTTAGTTATTCTGTTTTACACCAAAATTTCTAGCTGATCAATAAATACATATTCTCTCTCTTTCCAAGATCTATTAGCTTAGAATAAGAATATTCTTGCACCTTTCCATCACTATCCTTTAGTTTATATCTATTTTCTCCCTAAGACAGAGATAAAAGTGTTTTTCCTATATCAAATAGACAGACAGATAGGCTTTTCTTCTGCTTCTCCATCCACAGTACAATCTGAAAGACAGCTTTGATTTTAAAGACGAAGAGTGATTTCAAATGCAGACAAAAATACAAAAAGGCAAAACAACGGGAAAGTGCTGGCCACACATTCTGGGAACAGACTGTTTACCTTGGAATAATCTTAGCAAACCAACACCAAGAAAAGCAACAGATGTACAAGATTCAACTAGAGGACAAGAAGCAGTGTAAGCTGGAATGGAGAAATCTATGATAGAGAAATCATGTTCAGATAAATTGCAAAGAACACATTCATGAATGAAGCTGCTCATTCTACATAAATCAAAGGTGACAGAAATATGTGTCCATGTAATATAAGAAATATACTTTTAAAAGTGTCAGTAGGCCAAGCCATCTTCAACCTAGCATTGATAGTTACTGGATTAAGTAATTAATTATATACCATCAGGTCAGCATCAACTGTTAGCAACCACATAAGTAGGCCTTCTCCAGGATTACCTGTACCTAGGCTGACCCTTCAGAACTTCAAACTGTGCACCTATCACTGCTGTAATTGAATACCTCCACGTTGCTTCTGGCTATCCTCTTCTCTAATACTGACATTCTAAATTTTTAATAGTCTTTCTACAAAATATATCATGGGCTTGCTCCTGTTCAATGATCATAGTATGGTTTGCTTTTACATTACAAGATGAGGCCATATACCCCCAAGGAATAGGATCCACTGCTGGTTCCATATTCTATTGGCCCAAGGCTTGGGATTTACATGTTCCAATAGTATTTGAAAATTGATGAAACTCCAGCAATTACTCAGTTTCCTTCAAGTACATAACAAGTATGTTATCCTCAGATGGTTACGACTGAAGCTTGGGGATCTTACTTATAGTTTCAAAGCATTTTTACTGAAGTAATATTGCTGTCCTGGAAGAATGCTGTAAATAAAGGATGTATGAAAAACAGTAGTACCAGCTGGAATTAGCACTTTCAAAATCAGAAGAGAAAAGAAAGGGAAGCTACTTAAAAATATAACTTCTTTTAAAAAATGCACTAGATCCTGACCTAGTAAAAAGTGTTTAAAAATCCATGTGTTAGATAGATCTCAGAGGGAGGGAGGGAGAAAATGCACACCTACCGTACAAGCCAACTATTATTCCAAGGAAAATATGAGAAAAAGTAGCCTTTTAATTTCAGTCCTTACTAGCAGATTCAGCCTTGCTGTGTTCTGTATGCTGTTCTAGCAAAATAATGGGTATGTCCAGGAATAACAAATACAATTTTCAGCTTTGGACTGTGACAAACCCTATTTTGCCTGCCAATGGCAAACCAGTCAGTCAGGGATGTAAGTGGAATAAATATGCAATAAATTCTTTGAGAGAACTGAGCATGGGAACAGAGATGCTGAATGAACAGGAAAATAAATTCCTGTTCCTCAAGACATCATCAACCAGCAGATGGAACACCAGTAAACAGGACACGAAAGACTGACTGTGACAAATGTTTCACTTCAAAGAGAGTTAGACAGTGACCTACACACAGAACTGGGACAAACAGTATCTAGGGAGGAAGGGAGACAGGAATAGTTGTCTACTCTTGGTACACGGAAAATCCATTATGCTAAGCTTACACTACCACAAGAAGTCTGGAGACTTAATGAGTATTGCCACAAAGCAGCAGGAGACAGTTTTCACTCAGCAGGCTTTGTGCTACATGAGGCTATTTATTTTGGAAGCTAACAAGGATCTGCAATGAAAAGTTTTCCTTGGAAGTCTAAAATATTTGCCCCCTTATCTATCCAATAACCATGATCAGTGGGACCAACTGAGTTGGATCCAGTCTATGGCAGTTCCTTTGAAAGTACTACGGCTTATGACCTATGTGTCCCACTGGTTTTACTGGGACTGAAATGGCTTACATGGCTTAACTGCACTGCAGTTACTCCAAGTTTCGGTTTTTTTACAGGTTGATGTATACACCTATGTGACCTGGTAAGGACACTCCTTTCAAGTCTGCTAGCTATTTGCAAACTAGGGGTATGCCCAGGATATAAATGAAGGTACCCTTTCACGATCTTTTTCTTTACAGTTCTATACAAAACAGTTCCTAATAGGATCATTGCTTGTAAAACTACCATGAAATAATGGGTTTCATTAGAACTGCTGCCTTAAACAGTGGACTCCCAGTCTAATCCATTGTTTCTCACAGTTACTACAGAAATCTGGTGTTTCATTTCACAGCTTCCAATGCATACTCTGTTTTTCTTCTTCAGCAGTGTCTTGAGAAACTCAAGAGTGTCTCAAATGCATCAATAAATTAAGCTTCAGTGCCCTTGCCAGAAAGGAAAGTATTACTTTTCCCCTAAGTGCAAGTGATGAAACTGAGCAAAGAGGGGTTGTGCTAGGTCAAGTAACAAGACACAAATAGAAGAATGGCTTCCATTCTTGCATTTTAGGTCTTGGGAAGCTCTCTTCACCCACGCTACCTCTACAGTTATTGCTGCTGGAGTAAATATTTACTGCCCCCCATACATAATTCCATTTTGCCGTTTACAAAATTAATTAAATATATCACCATAAACAGCTACAGACCAGTTTTGTTTCAGAGACAGGGCCATGGAGCATCCACAATGCCTCAAGATATATTGACCAATCAAATGTAAACAGCCAGAAGCTGAAAGATAACTAGCTGAGTGCTGCCTCTTCCCAGCCCTAGGTCTAAAGCATGCAAACGCATGTCTCGGATGAGTTATTTCACAATGCAACCTTATCTTGCAGTGAACAGTTTCTACCACCCGGGACAAGGAGTACTGTGGAAAGGGGGGAATGGGAAGGCAAGAGACAAAGCTTGTAAGCAAAGCTGTGATTAAGGCAATAATTATCTTTGGACACAGAACTTCTGGACTGTTTTCCTCTGGCGTACATAAAATGCACATGCAACCCCAGGACTCGCTGTGGTACTCCCCCCCCCCTTTTTTTTTTTCCCTATAATAAATTAGTTATTGGTGGTTAAAAATCCAGTAAGTTTCATGTGAAATGCCAGATTATGGAAAAGAACTCAGGCTTTCTGGGAAGCATCTTTAGCATGAACACGTGACATTTATTGTAAAACCTACATTAGTTTTTACAAGGCTCAGCACATGCAGACCCCTACCATCAAAGTTCTGCGTTAAAGAAGCTTTGATCACAGGTAAATTATTCTTGCATCTCTCAGAACAAGCGAGCCTGGTAAATTAAACCTCGTCTCCGCTCCGCTCCGTTTATAACAGCCTAGCAAAATATAATGGTTTCAGTCACTGTATGTAACCTACCACACGCTCATTTGTTCTCGGACAATCAGCCACTTATTTATCATACAAACAAGTCAAGCTTGGACAGACTTTAAATCTGCATCTACAACAGGCCGGTGAAGTTCTACACAGCTGTTTAATCGCCGAGCCAAGCATTGTTTCGCTTAAACGTTACACTTTTTGAGACACAGTTAAATGTTGACGTGTTATAAGCCAGCTGAGTAAATCATTCCCGATTAGCGGTCACTTTTTCCAGACACTTACCATAAAAACAAGGAAGCATCTCGTCGTCGATCCCGCATGACCTGGATTTACAGTAAAAAGACCTGGTTCTTTTTAACATCTACGTAAAATTCATAGAGAAGGACAAGCCGCTTGGAAGCAGAGCCAGCAGCAGAGAATCTTGGGACGTTACGAGAAGGTTTCCTTCAACAGGGAAAACGTCCACACCCCACTACTGCTCACCCCAACGGCTGATTTTGCTACGCTATTCCCGCTCCGGGGGGGGGACTCAGAAAAGTTGGAGCTCAACGCCGTGGAAGAGCCTCATCACGGCGTGGTGATAGGGGCTGGGGGCGCTGGCGGCAAAAGTCGGCAGAAATAGCCCGTCGCCCCCCGCTCCCCGCCCGGCGCCGGTTTCTTGACTTCGCGTGGTCCACGCGTTCGCAGGAGAAAATCGAGGCGAGCCGCACCGACAGGAAACTCCCCGCTGTAAACTCTCG